ATAGATAATTTCAAATTATTTATTTTAAATGCTGTTTAAAATGTTATGCTGTAATTGTCAAAATAAGCAATGTCTTTAACAGTTTTTTTATCATATATATTTTTTGCATTATTATATATATTCATCATCGCTGTTATTGTATTCTTTATTTTATATTTTTCCTTTATTATTTTTCTACATGCATACAAAAATTATTGCACGCAAGTAATAAGTACTTGTTTCAAATATTTCGAAGGTTCATATATCCGCAAATCTATCATATATGTTCATTATAAGTATCAAATTTATTTAAAATATATTCTGAATTCTAATAAGTTTAATATACTTCAATTTCAAAAGATTATTAAATTAAAACAAATTCGATTTGCTTACATAAAATCGTTTCTTTGATTAATTTTATAATATTCTTCAAAAAAAATAAATTCTTTTTATACATACCATTAAGTTTTTCTAAAATTTATAATAAATATATTTTAAGACTGTTATCAAGAAAATATTCTTTGTTAAAAGATAACTATTATTTAAAATGAACAAAATAAATTGAGCAATCACTTTTTTTTAGTAACTGGATGTGTGTATGTGACTGAAAATCACACACTTGTTTGTTTCTTCAGTTGATTACAAATATACAATATGAGACATTTTCTCTTAACGATCGAGGGAAGTAAATTTAAAAACAAACAAATTTAAATACACGCTATCGATGCCATGCTGTCGCTAATTCTTGCTCCATTACGGTGAACTTTTTGTGCGGATTTATATGCAACTTAAGGAGATTCTCGACCATGGGTAGTACCAATGACCTGCTAGAAACAACATCCGCCATCATACGCAGCTGTTGTCACGTTCACTGCCAAATTCCTATGAATTGTTTGCATTTGACGCATACGATTTAGCTATCATCTGGGAATTCCCCGCGTCGAACATGCGACTAGGAAAGAAAACATTCTTGTTCTGATGAAGAAAATTCTCTATTAATTCATGATATAATATTCCTAAGAATTTTTCGTATATTCAATTCATGAATGTTTCTGAAAAATCATATAAAGAATTCTAGGAGAAATTTTTGCCTACAGAGTAGTTACCATAAATTGTTGATATTTCTCGTAAGTTGTGACATTGTCACTATAAAAAGATGTACAAATCGATATAAAAATTACAATTGCAAATGAATGAAGAAATAAAAAATGTTCTCTTTTTGCATGCTTCAGTTTAATCTGAAAGAACCAGAATATAATTTCAGTTCCTAGAAAAAAAAAAAATACATTTCTGTTGTTACTATCCTCCTCAAAGCGTCAATATTTTATCGAACACAATTCAGCTCCTCATCGATTATTAACGCAATGGAAATCAATTCTTTTAAAATAATTAATTAACGTATTACGTTTGTATGCATTTAAAAAATGTCCCCAGGTATCTTTCTTTTATATCTTTAAGTTCAAAATTATATTTATCTTACATAGGGTGCAGATCAGGTGGCGGAGCGTTTCACGGATAAGATATCGGATAAGATTTTGCGATCGCGAATCTGTCGTCGCGACGATAGATCCGCGTCGCGACGGAGAACGAGCGGAACGTTCCGCAACTTGCGCGCGAACTTGGCACGGCAGAAGCACGTACGCTGCGCCAAAAATAGCGATCGGCGACGGGTTAAACTGTTAGCAAGAGAAAGTTAGAACGAGAAGTTTTTGCGTCGCGTGCAACGGGAAATCCCGTTGAGGGTGCGCCGAATCTCGCACTTGTCACCAGCGCGAGATAATATATCTCGTCGAAATTAAATCCCGATCGAAAGAAAGACCGAAAAGAGATTGTGATCAGAAATTTGTAAAGTTCTCCACTTTATTTAGCTTTAAAATATTGTAAATACAGTCGAGACAATTTTAAGTGCAATTTAATCGCTTATAGGAGAGCGTTCAGGCTTCCATATATAAATTTCCATAAGCAGTAAAATGTAAACAGTAAACAAATCGATATTTGCTTAGTTATTATTGTCTTGCGTTCTCTGTGATTTGTTTTGCTTATTATTGTCTTACTTGTTTTTCTGTATGCGTAAAAATTGAAAAATATGTGAAGAAAGAAATAAGTTTATATATTCTCTAAATTTCTTGGAGCGAAATCTCACTCTAAAAGTAAAAATATTTGCACTCTTGAATAATAAAAGTGGCAGATTTCACTCTTTTTTTGGAGTGAGATTCACTCCAAGGGGAAGAAATCTTATTTCTTTTTTTTTTGGAGTGAATCTCACTCCAGAAGCTCAATTACAATAAGATGATAACATTATCCAAAGTAAACAGAATTATATATATAGAAACCATTGATAAAAAAAACAACGATCTATTGCACGTCACAGTCGGAATTAGAACCTTCTTCGTTAATAATTAATAATCATAAGGTCAAAGTCAATAACTATTATATTACGTAACGTCAAGTGAGATGAAAAATTATTTTCTTTCAACATATAATAGTTTCCATTAAATCGGTTTAAAAGTAAAGCAAAAATATTTGATTTATGTGAAAAATGTTAAAATTTAATTTATTGTGTTATAACTATTGTGTATCATATATACATAGTGTATATTGTAAAATTGGAAATATAAAAATTTTTGAGTCTCCGGAAAAACCAAGATCTCCATCCATCCATCAATCCATCTCTAGATTTATTTCGTGTCAATTTGTGTTTTCTGTCCCCTTTCTTGCAAAAAAACCAAAAATACATGCTTATTTCATTTTAAATGCGAGAAGTGAAGGTAAACAAGCAATTTCATTTTCTTTTACGACAGTCCGATAATGTCATCGTTTATACTTTATTCTCGCCTTATATGCTAAACATAGTAATTATAGAGAGATCCCTTTTTCATACAAAAAATAGTATGCTTAGGAATTAGTTCCGTTCAGCTGGTGTTTAAAAACTTGACGTAAAACAATTCTCTACGTTGCAATAATCAGATAGATGTCACTATTTTTCATATTTTACTAATACTCGCTAGTGTCTATCTTTTTTACCTACCATTGGCAAGGAAGAATTAATTTGTAAGACTTAATTTTATCAGAGATATATGTAATACAATTTTGAAATTATTTTTTTACACGAAGATTAAAAGCTATTTAAACATTTTTTTCGTAATCTTTTTGCTATGTCCATAGTGAAAATTTTTTTACGAAATTTTTGAAATAATTTTTCAGAATTTGTATATAAATTTTAGAATTTTTCAAAATTTTTGAGTCATTTTATAATTTTGTAGAAAATTTTTTATGCAAATTGCAACATTTTTCGAAAAAGTCTACATCGTTTTTTAGAATTTTCTATACAGATGTACATTGTGAAGTATTTTGATTTTTAAAATTTTTAATTTTATAATTTCTTATAAAATCTAAAAAAGTAAAATATTTTTTTAGAAATTATAGAATGTGTGTGAATAAAAAACTTCGAAATCTTAAAATAAGTAACTATTCATTATATGATCTACCTAAATTTATGATTTCTTTCTAATTTTTTACTGAATCTAAAATTGAAAATTGATGGTTAGATTCAAAAGAGGAAACATTTCTGCACAAAAAAAGAAACTTAGACACTTTTAAATATTAATTTACATAGATACAATGAACATTTTAAGAACAAATAGCATTTAAATATAATAAATCTTATGAAAAGAAGAGCATAAAAACCACCGCACAAGATATTGTTTGTGATATTTAATTATCATTACATTAATAAAACATTAGAATCTGGAAATTCTTGTTCTACGCATTTCGTAATATGATAATTGGCGCTGCAACATTTTTGTACGAGACACCTTCACACGATGAAAGAACATTATTTATTTATAGTTATATTACACGACGGTTGAATTTAGCTATATGTAATTCTGCGTTTTAAGAATATTGTGAATTTACTGAAGATGGTCAGATGGTGACCGAAACGTTTAATGTTTTATTAATGTAATGATAATTAAATATCACAATATCTTGTGCGGTGGTTTTTATGCTCTTCTTTTCATAAGTTTTGAATTATAAATCATGTTTGTTTTTATTATGTATAATAAATCTTTTTAGACATAATAAATCTTAGATATAAATATATATATATATATATAAAATATATTTTAAATACAATAAATCTTAAAATCACAATAAGATCACATATGTATTACAGTCATCCTTCATAATTTATCTTTTATTATCTACACTATTTCAACACTATATTAAATATTTTAGAAATAAACCCATACAGCACAGAATATCGCTACAAAATCTCTGTAGTATAATAATATTGCTGCAACATGTAATATTATTACAATGTTGCAGCAGTGTTGCTGCAACTTTTGGTTAAGCTATTTATTAATATCTCGTCGAGCTATCCCAGATTTAAAAAAAATTATGTTTCTACATCAATTTGTTGCTGAGAAAATGTAAGATTAGCAAATTTAAACGCATGAAATCAGACAGGCGCGAGTCGCTGTGTGGCCCGATCTTCCTCACTCCATCGTGTCCCGACTTCCCTCACTCTGGCTCGCTGTCTCGTTTGTATTCAAATTTTCAATGGTTTTAAACAAACTCTTTCGGCAGCAACAAATTCGAGAAAAATCAAATTTTTTAACAGCAAATTCAACTCTTCCTTGACAAATTGATGCCAGACAAAACTCTTAATCTTAAAATTAGAGCCACAGTGATTTTTTTGAAAAAAAAATTGTTATCTCGGCTCCTAACAATCGAAGGAAACTGTTTTCGCATATTTCCCACACGTTGCAAATCTCAAACATATGCATTCTTTTCTGATAGCCTTCCGAAAATTTCGTCGAGAGAAATGTCAACTTACAATTTTTTCACGAAATGGATCCCTTTGAGAGACTTATGCCCATTTTCACAATGTAAATTAACTTTAATCTCGGTTCAATTTACTCTTCATCTTCTTCTAATCTGTAGAACTAGAAAAAGACGAAGAGTAAATTGAACTGAGATTAAAGTTAATCTACATTGATGAAAGTCATAATTCTATTGGACTATAATCGGGATGGCGAAGAGTAGGGATGGACACACAAGAGTCCTCCGTATCGATATTATTCCAGCTGATTATTTTGTGTCGTGACATGGCATCGAACGCAGTGACGGTGATGGCGACGTCGAACCCGCGCGGTAAAGTCCTCACCGAAGACAACGTTTTCGTAAACTTGCGCAAAATGGAGCTCGCGATGTGCGGATCGCTGTTCTTTAGGGCACGGGAGATCGAAAAAGAACTACAAAAAGTAAGGATAAACTGAACGAGTGATTTCAAGGATCACATGCTCATTCCAGAACAAAATGGAATCTTCTTCGGCATACATACAAAGAAGTGATATACAAGGTGTTCAAAAATTCGCGACTTGAAATATTATAGCAAAAAAAGTTATGGTATAGTAATAACAATAAAATGTAGATGAAAAAGACAAAAAATATAGGCAAAATATAGACAAAAAAGTAAATAATAAAATATAGATGAGCGCAATGCAGATTATCTAAATTATATCTGCATATAAATATTTATTCAGTAAACACTTAACCAAATTATTTTTTTTTCGCGAATCCTAAAATGAAAACAATTCAAATATAGCGTGTAAACATAATTATGTAATTTAATTTTAAATAAACATGTAAATTACTTTGTTCGCAAGTAATAATGTGAAAACAATTCAATCCCAGTGCGCGCAAACTTATTTCGACTGTGTTCCAAAATTCACTGCCAGCGCTGAAAATCTACAGGTTATGTTACGTATATTACATATTTTCAGCATTGACAGTGAATATATATTTTGGGACACAGTCGAAGTAAGCCTTACTTAACACTAACAAACGATTAATTCGCGAGTGTAAGATAACGCGTATCGATGCAGCAGATATTATATTCAAGATTGGAAAGTAAATTCCGATATTTTCCATCTATCACTGGTTTAGTTTCCAAACACTCAATTCAGTTCCACACTTCGGTACAAATATAGATTTAATAATTAAGATTAAATACAATGATTTCAATGAATCAACAAATACAGATTGTTTCCATTGGAGATATCTCCTGGATAAGATTATCCGGAACTTATCTGGAAATGAAGAAATTGAGCATAAGTGAAAAATTAACAGTACGTTACATATAACGTTATAAATTAGACTCTTGTATTGTATTCCTATATTGTATATACTCTTGTATTATAGCTTATAGTCTCCACAAAGTTTGGAAAAGTTTCAAAATTAAACACAAAGATTGTATCTAAAATCGTTTCTCTTTGCCAGGGCTTTGAGAAACCCTTCAAGGAGTTGACCAAAATGAACACTGGCGACGCTCACGCGATGGGTCAGCAGCCTATCACGTTCCTGCGGCAGGGGCTCACCCCGACAGTCTCCCCGCATCTGCTCAATGATCCGAGCTTCCCGGAGGATGCAAAGGATCGCGCCCGGATGATCCTGGAAAATTGCAATGGCAGCAGCGTGGGCTCGTATTCGGAATCGACCGGCATCGAATGTATTCGCAAGCATGTTGCACAGTACATTCAAGAACGAGATGGCGATATCCCTTGCGATTATCACAACATTATCCTCTGGAACGGCGCTTCTATCGGTATCAAAGTATGTGGACTTCAATGTGGACTTCTTGTTATTTGGAAAATTGATTGAAAGCAATTTATCCAGTAAACACAAAGTTACAACGTTACATGTAACGTACTATTAATTTTTCACTTATGCTCAATTTCTTCACTTCCAGATAAGTTCCGGATAATCTTATCCAGGAGATATCTCCATTGTACTCTGAGAGATATCTCTTGAATAAAGTTATCTAGAGGTGAAGAAATTGGGCATTAATAATATAATTAATACATAATATAATAATATAATAAATATACGTGTGTTATATTACAGTTATATTGTTGAGTGGAAAATTACGACTAACAGGTACCTATATATGTTGCATGTAATTTTGCGTTTGCTAGCTAGTTATATATTTAATAAATAATGTTCTGACATGTAAAAATAAAATAGCAAATTGGAAAATGGAAAATAATTTTGAGTAAATAATATTGAAAAAATTGAAAATTTTTTCAATCTTATTGTTCCAGTTTATTTTTTCTATCATGGTAATGAGCATGAATAATTATTTGATACGATAATTATATATATTTATATTTTAAATCAATCATTTTTACATATACAATGCACGTTATATAAAATTGAAATTGATATTTTAAACTTTATTTGTTATTTTGTTATTTGTTATTTGTTATTTGTATATGTTATTTTAGACAGACTGAAAGGATAACAGCAGTTAACGCTCTACTATTTTCTTTCATTTTAGCTTGTATGATTTTCTTTTCCAGACATTCCTGAATCTATTCAACGAAAGGCTGGACGACAAACCATCCGGCGTGCTGATCCCATTTCCGCAGTATCCTCTATATTCGGCAACTCTGACGGAGTTTGGACTCGCTCAGATTGAGTACTACCTAGATGAAGATAACAAATGGTCGCTAGAAGTCAGTGAGCTGGAACGAACATTAAGAGAAGTCAAGAATATATGTAATCCTCGCGTATTGGTGGAGATACCTCCCTTTCCATTGTTCAAAGAATGTGTGGAGGGGGATGGGGGAGCCGTATTCGAAGATGGAACTGGCATCGTTTATGTCCATCTCGAAAGGTGCGCAAAAAAAGAGTTTGGGAATCCGAAATCGATTCCTATCGCTAGATGTTTCGATTCCCAAACTCTTTTTTTGCGCACCTTTCGATAAATAATTTATTTATAATATTAGACTTTTAAAATAATTTAATCAAGGGACATTGAATTTTTAAATTATTAGGTGTACAAAAAAGTTCTGAGCTTTAGATTTGATACAACCGAAATAACAATTTAAATTTTATATATCTTCCCGCCCTTTTGCGGTTTTAAAGCGTTAACATTTGGCCTTCTAAAATGCCATACGGTTTGGCGTTTGATGCACATAACCTCAAAAATCAGTAATGTTCACGATGGCAATAACAAAAGAGCATATTCGATTTTCTATCCACTTCGCGTTTCATCTGAAGAAAAATGCTGCTGAAGCCACTGCAATGATTTGTGCTGCATATGGAGAGAACGCTGTAAGTCATGCTACATGTAAAAGACGGTATCAAAAGTTTCGCCAAGGAGATTTCAGTCTTAAAGATGAATCGCGTGCTAGACGCCCTGAAAAAATTGAAACGAACGAATTGCAAGCACTGCTGGATATAAACTCTGCGCAAACTGAAAAGGAGCTTGCAGAACAGCTTGGCGTTACGCAGCAAGCCATTTCCGTACGATTACATACGATGGGAAAGGTTCAGAAGAAAGGCAGATGGGTTCCGCATGAATTGTCCGAAGACAACAAAAATCGACGGCGTGACACTGCACTCACTTTACTTTCAAAGTTCCGGAAAAAAGATTTTCTGCACAAAATCATTACAGGCGATGAAAAGTGGATTCTTTATGATAACCCTAAACGTAGAAAATCATGGGTTGATCCTGGTCAACCTTCGACATCGACGCCAAAGCCCAATATCCACGCCAAGAAGGTTTTGCTCTGTATCTGGTGGGATTGGAAGGGTGTGTTGTACTACGAGTTGTTACAACCGGGTGAAACAATCACGGCAGACCGCTACCAACAACAATTGACCAATTTGAGCGATGCATTAGAAGAAAAGAGGCCATTTACTGGCCAAGGACGTCGTAAAGTGATCTTGCTTCATGACAATGCTCGACCTCATGTTGCGAAAGCGACTCATATCTTTGCGTTAGGCTGGGAACTTCTTCCGCACGCGGCGTATAGCCCAGACATGGCGCCTTCCGATTACTACCTATTCCGGTCGCTGCAGCATCATTTGGCTGATACACATTTCGTGAGATTAGAAGAGATACGAAAATGCATTGATGACTTTATCGCTTCGAACCCGGTGAGTTTCTATCGTCAAGGAATTCGCAAGCTCCCCGAAATATGGCAAAAGGTCGTTGATGCAAACGGAGAATATTTCGCTGATTAATATTTTTTCATTTGTTTTTGAATAAAGATTGAATTTTACAAAAAAAAGCTCAGAACTTTTTTGTACACCTAATAGTTAAAACATTGAACAGGAATATGTGATTTGAAAAATTATTGAATTTTGATTATCAAATTAAATTCATGAATAGATTTCTTGAAAAATTTCAGAAGCATTCCGGGCATTTCGTTTTCAGGATATATGGGTGAATGCGGGATCCGTGGCGGTTACGCCGAAATTATCAACATGGACCCGGAAGTGATGAAGGTGCTATTGAAGTCAATCTCTGCGATGCTGTGTCCTACCGTGCTCGGCCAGGTCGTGATGGATGTTGTGGTGAATCCGCCGCGACCGAATGAGCCATCGTATGAGCAATTCCAGAAAGAGAAAAGAGAAACTCTACGCTCCCTAGCAGAGAGATCACGGCTCATCGTCGACACACTCAATAGTATTCCTGGATATAAGGTGACTGTCCTTTTAGAATAGCCAAAGAAAACTGCGCTGAACAGAATTTGTACAATGTCTTTGCTTTTCCTTTTCAGGCAAATCCGGTGATGGGTGCGATGTATGCGTTTCCACGCTTCGAACTGCCGTCAAAAGCAATTGAGGCGGCGCGAGCGAAAAGCCAGGAACCAGACGTCTTCTACGCGTTCGAACTATTGGAGAACACTGGGATTTTAGTGATCCCAGGCTCGTACTTTGGCCAGATATCTGGTACAAATCATTTCCGCACGACGATACTGCCACAAAAAAAGAAAATCAAAACAATGCTCGAAGCGCTGAAGCAATTCCATATCAAATTTCTTGAGAAATACAGTTAAATAATACATTTTAATAATTGAGAGAAAATTGACAAATTATGGAGAATAAGAATTATACATCTATAATAAGAAATGACTTTCACTGTGCATATCCAAGTGAAAGTTCAGTTTTTGAACATTTAGGAATGTAAAATATTTTTATTACGATTAATAATTTATTGACCAGTATTCATTGTCGATTCTTATTTTTAGATCATTTTAAAGAAACGGTTCTTTTTAATGACATCTTAAGATTGAAATATAAAAACTAATTGATTATGAATATCGGCCATTAACATTAAGATATTGCATACGACGTTGTTATTGTGTTTTGTAGAAATCTTGAAAAAAAATTACAAATTTGTTATATGTAAATAAAAGAATTAATTATTGTTAATGAATTTGTATATATCTAATAGTTTTTGTTAAATCAAACAGCGATCGATATTACGTAATAATTATTAAGAAAATAATTTGAGTATATTAAGTTTTAAATTGTCGTATTTTTTAAAATGAAGTATAATAAAATATGACATAATTACATAATAGACTCCAGAGAAAAAGAAAAAGAAAAAAGAGAAAGTGTACAATTATAATTGTTTGTTAATTCGCAAGGGCAAGAGAGAGCGAGAGAGAGAGAGAGAAAGAGAGAGAGAGAGAGAGATGCATATTGTAAAACGAACGAAGGAAGTAATATGCTCCGACTACCTGCTCATCCACGTGCACTTATATAATGCGCTGGCTAAGAATATGATACCAGCAATAAACGAAAAATACGCGATCGCGACAGTGTCGCTAACGCGTTGGAGCAATGACAGTGCCGCGAGTGAAAAGCTTTTCAAAATAAAGTGTGAGTCACGTGTTGCGATATCCCTTTAACTAGCCCTTTATGCTTTGCGAAGAATATTTCACACAATGATATATAAACGATATTCTCTCTCTCTCTCTCTCTCTTAACTCGAGTTTATTTCATTAACCGGAATAATGCTCTAGACTCTAGACTATCATGACTATCGAGGCTTGTCATAATCTTAAATATAACCTTGACCACAAATAGATATTTACATTTTTTTATTTATCTGGAAATAATGATTAATAAAGAGCCTAATATTTTTAGCTAAGGTATTTTTGTATGCCATATACATTCTTGTCATATATCGCCAAAGATTAGTGGGAAATTCCAAGTCCGGAATATAAGTGTGCTTATTAATCAACATATGGTGCTTTAGTTACATGAAAATTATAATTAATAATAAAAGTAATTATCATCATAATCACATGTGAGTCATTATTATGATTGTGTTGTGATTATAGTTTTAAAAAAATTTTTCAAATAATTTTTCAGAATTTTTATGTAAATTTTAGAATTTTTCAAAATTTTTCTGAGTCATTTTATAATTTTTTAAAAAATTCCTTAAATTTTTTATGCATATTGCAACATTTTTCGAGAAAGTTTTTAAAAATTTTTTTATTGATATTGTGAAATATATTTTGATTTCTAAAAGATTTTTAATTTTATAATTTCTTATAAAATCTCATAAAATCTCATAAAATCTGAAAAAATTTAAAGTATTTTTTGCAGAATTTATAGAATGTGGATGAATAAAAATTTTAAAAATCTTAGAATAAGTAAGTGTATACTATATGATCTAATACAGTTTATAATTTTTGTCTAACTTTTTGCTGAGTGTTAAATTGAAAATTGATGGTCAGATTCAGAAGAAGAAACATTTCTGCAAAAAAAAGAAATATCAGACATATTCAAATATTAATTTACATGGATGCAATAAACATTTTAAGAAAAAATAGTATTTAGATATAGTAAATCTTAAAATCAAAACAATAAGATTACAATAAGATCATGTGTTTTGTAGTTATCTTTTATAATTTATCTTTTATTATCTACACTATTCCAACACTATAAATATTTGAGAAACAAGAAAAGAACATTCTTAATTATAATATAGCCTACGATTTCTTTTCTCATTTCTAGATCATTTTTGTGTTATTTCTATTATACTTTTAAAAGATAAAGAAGGTTATAAAATATTCTTATGACTTTTATATTCTATCTGGGGATAGGATGTTGATCGAGATGGCGAGGGGTAGGGATGTTGGACACACAAGAGTCTTCTGCATCGATGCGATTCCAGCCGATTATTTTGTGTCGCGACATGGCATCGAACGCAGTGACGGCGATGGCGAACACGTCAAATCTGCGCGATAAGGTTCTCACTAAGGATAATGTCTTCGTGAACCTTCGCAAAATGGAGTTCGCGGTGCGCGGACCGCTGTTCGTCAGGGCATTGGAGATCGAAAAAGAGCTACAAAAAGTAAGGATAAAATGAGCCGGAACAAGTCATTTGTCAAGAACCGTATGTCATTCTAGAGCAGAATTGAATTATCTTCAGTACATGTCCAAAAAAAGAAATGATATACAGGGTGTCCCAAAATTCACGATGTTTAAAACAAAAAAGTTTTGGTAAAAGATATAGATAAAATACAGACAAAGAAGTAAATAATAAAATATAGATGAGCGCAATTCAAATTATCCAAATTATATTAGCATATAAATATTTATTCAGTAAATACATTTAACCAAATTATTTCTTTCTCAAATACTAAAATAAAAAAAATTCAAATATAGCGTATAAACGCATTTAATTTTAAATGAACATGTAACCAAATTACTTTGTTCGCAAGTAATAATGTGAAAATAATTCATAATGTGCGCAAACTATTATTTACCTAACATTAACAAACAATTAATGCGTGAATGTAAGATAACGCGTATCAATGCAGTAGAGTAATAGTATTATATTCAAGGTTGAAAAATAACCTGTTATTTTCCATCTATAACTTTAGTTTCCACATAAACCCTGCATTCAGTTCCACTTCAGTGCAAATGAAATATAGATTGTTTCTATTAGAATGTATTCATTAGATGTAAATTAGATTGTATTGTACTCCTGTATATATAACTTATAGTCTTAAAACTTTTCTAAACTTTGTGGCGATTATATATAAGTTACCCAGATAACACAGAGAGTTCAAAAGAGTTCAAAAAGAATTCAGTGATATGTCATCAATTCTAAGTCAATTTTTTTCAGAAAAAGAATTCTTTTTGCATCTGAAAATGAATTCAGAATTGACATATCACTGAATTCTTTTTGAACTTTTTGTGCTATCTGGGTAACTTATATATAATCGCCACAAAGTTTAGAAAAGTTTTAAAATTAAACACGAAGATCGTGATTGTACCCAATATCGTTTCTTTTTGCAGGGTGTTGAAAAACCCTTCAAGGAGGTGATCAAAGTGAACACTGGCGACGCCCACGCGATGGGTCAGCAGCCTATCACGTTCCTGCGGCAGGTGCTCACCCTGACGGTTTCGCCGAATTTGCTCAACGATTCGAGATATCCGGAAGATGCAAAAAATCGCGCCCGGATGATCCTGGAAAATTGCAATGGCGGCAGCGTGGGCTCATATCCGGAAATCAGAGGCATCGAGTGTATTCGTCAACACGTTGCACAATACATTCAGGAACGCGACGGAGGTATCCCCTGCGATTACCACAATATTATCCTCTCGAACGGCGCTTCTATTGGTATCAAGGTATGTACACTTCAAGGTACGTCCTCTTCTTGTTATTTGAAATGTCATTTAAAAGTAATCTACTCCGTAAACACAAAGTTACATGTTGCAACGTTACTTTTCCAGTTTATTTTTTCTATTATAATAATGAATATGAATAATATTTTATACGAATAATACATATTTATATATTAGATCAATCACTTTTACATGTACGATGCACGTTATACAAAATTGAAATTGACATTTTAAACTTTGATATTTTGGATAGACTGATAAGATAACGGCTATTAACCCTACTGAAAAAAATCACATCACAAAGTCGCATAACGAAATCATATAATTAAGACAAATAAATTACGTAACGAATTATTCCAAATCATTATGTGATTTTTTTAAGTGATGTAATTTGAAAAGTCACATGATGATACGTTTTTTTCTTCTCTGTCATTTAATTCTTTAAAATTTGATAAATCACATGATGGAAATTATTTCTAATATCATGTGATTTTTCAAATAATGTGATTTTTAAAAATCACATATTGATTTGAAACAATTCGTTACGTGATTTATTTGTCTTAATTACATGATTTTATTGTAATTAATTATTGATCAACTTTGTGACTTTTTTTCAGCAGGGAATGCTATATTTTGTCTTCTTTTACCTCATGCTTGTATGATTTTTTCCCAGTCATTCCTGAATCTATTCAACGAAAGGATCGACGACAAACCATCTGGCGTGCTGATTCCAATTCCGCAATATCCTTTATACTCGGCGACTCTGGCGGAGTTTGGTCTCGCTCAGATCGGGTACTATCTGGATGAGGACAACAAATGGTCGCTAGAAGTTAGCGAGTTGGAACGAACATTAAGAAAGGTCGAGGATACATGTAATCCTCGTGTGCTGGTGGTGATCAATCCCGGTAATCCAACCGGCCAAGTATTGACTCGCAAGAACATCGAAAATGTCATCCGCTTTGCCCATAAACATCACCTGTTCTTGTTGGCCGACGAAGTCTATCAGAATAACGTATACGACAAAGATAGTGCATTCCATTCCTTCAAAAAGGTTATGACAGAGATGGGCGAACCGTATTCGAAAATGGAACTTGCATCGTTTATGTCCATCTCGAAAGGTGCGCGAAAAAGAGTTCAGGAATCGGAACATAATTCGTTAAAAATCGCGAAGAGCAATTTATTTAAAATATATTAGACTTTCAAAACAGTCTAATCAAAAATGTTGAATTCTTAAATTATAATCGAAATTTTATTGAGTCAAAACACCGAACATCAATATTTGGTTTGAAGATTTTTATTACTACATACATGGAGAGAATTTTTTCTTAGAGTTTACCCTAAATGTATAATAATCGTGGGACAACATTGTATTTCAAAGAATTTTAATTCTCTCTCATTCATTAATAAGACTACAATAAAATATAAAATAAATTTGATTAATTTTATCACAATTACCATATTTTTTGAATAAATTTTAACAGAAAATTTTGTTCGTGTAGTTACCAAGTTAAATCCATGAATAAATTTTTTGGGAAATTTCAGAAACATTCCGTGTTGAAGCATTTCGGTTTTAGGATATATGGGTGAGTGTGGGATCCGTGGCGGTTATGCTGAAATCATCAACATGGATCCGAAAGTGATGAAGGTGCTATTGAAGTCGATTTCTGCGATATATCCTACTGTGCTTGGTCAGATTATATTGGACGTTGTAGTGACTCCACCGCGATCGAATGAGCCATCGTACGAGCTGTTCCAGAAGGAGACGGAAAAAATCCTGCGTTCACTTGCGGAGAAATCGCAACTCGTCGACGACATACTCAATAGTATTCCAGGATATAAGGTAACTATCCTTTCGCGAAATAGGTAATGAAAATTATTCGATATTTTTACAATATTTTTTTTTCTTTCGAGGCGAATCCGCCGATGGGTGCGATGTACGCGTTTCCACGCTTCGAGCTGCCATCGAAGGCGATTGAGGCAGCGCGAGCGAAAGATCAGGAACCAGACGTCTTCTACGCGTCCGAATTATTGGAGAACACTGGGATTTTAGTGCTCCCGGGCTCGTTTTTCGGTCAGATACCTGGTACGAATCATTCACTACGATACTACCGCAAAAGAAGAAAATCAAAGCAATGCTCGAAGCACTGAAACAATTCCACATCAAGTTTCTTGAGAAATACAATTAAATAATATATTTCCGGTTGAGAAAAAAATTGACAAATTATGAAGAGTAAGAATTATACAATGAGGAATGACCTTCTACGGTTGTGTCCATATCCGTGAAAATTAATTTTTGAACATATTAAGAACGTAAAATTTTTTTGTTATGATTAATAATTTATTGACCGGTATTCATTGTCGGTTCTTATTTTTAAATCATTTTAAGATCGTCTTATGTAATGTCTTAAGAAACGGTCCTCATTATTGATTTATGACATCTTAAGATTGAAATATAAAAACAAATCGACTATGAATATCAGCCAAATAACAAATAGTCATTGCATACAATGTTCTTATTAAGTTTTGTAGAAATCTTGATAAATTTGTATATGTAAATGTAAATAAATAAAAAAATTAATTGTTGCTAAAGAATATATCTAATAGTTTGTTAAAACCAATAACAGTCATATTACATAATAATTAATAAGAAAATAGATTGAATTGAAATATTAAATTTTAGTTAAGTTGCTGTATTTTTTTAATGACATATAATAAAATATAACATAATTACGTAACAGACTGCAGAAAAAAGAGAAAGCGTACATGTTAATTATTGTTTGTTAGTATGTAACGCACAGGCAAGAGGCGCATATTGTAAAGCGAGCGAAGGAGATGACACGCTCCGACTACCTGCTTACCCACGTGCACTTATATAATGTTCTAGCTAAAAATATGATACCAGCGATAAACGAAAAATACGCCATCGCGACAGTGTCGTTAGTGCATTGGAGTAGTGACAGTGCAACGTGAGAAGCTTTATTACAAAATAAAGAGTGAGTTACGTGTCGCGTTATCTCTTTAACTAATCTTTTGTGCTTTGTGACGAATATTTCACACAATGATGTGTAAATATATTCATAACTCGACACATTATAGATTAGATACAGTATAGATTATTTCATTAACCAGGAAATAATCCCTAAACATCCGAAGCTTGTCATAATCTTAAATACAGCCTTGGATAAAAATATTAGGCATTTACATTTTTTTATTTATCTGGAATTCTTTTACATGCATTATTGGTTGTCAGTATTACACGTAAGTGTAATTAAAGGAGTCTTGAAGCTAACAATAAGGATAATTTGCAGTAAATATAAATCAATTTTTGAGTGAAAATTTCAAATAATGATAAATAAGAAGTCTACTATTTTTGGCTAAGACTATATATATAAGATTAAGCTATATGTATGCTCATTATATATCGCAAAATTTCGATAAGATAAAATTCAAAGTCCGAAAGTTGCAAGTGTACTTATTAATCAGCATATGGTGCCATAGTAATACAATTATGGTATCCCAATTAAGGAACACATAAATTCAAGAGAAAGTAAAAATAATTTTATTTTGACGTCATGAAAATCAAAATGATAATTTTTTATTACAAAATTTGACTTATTATCGTTTATTATCGTTAAGTATCAAAATAAAGTTATTTTGGATTTTGGTGTCTTTATTGAGATCAGTCCAAGCATTATATTGGCCTAAATATTAGCCCAATGTATCCCCATTAAAACGTTTAACTAATAAGTCTGACCGTGTTGCTTGAGATTTTTAAAAAATTTTGCTTAAAGTGAGATAAATGAAATAAAAGAAAAAAACGAAGATATTAAATGCAAAAAGTGCAAACAACGCGAATGGAGTTCATGTATCGTAAATAAATTGTTATTCGGATGCCGTTCACGATCTAGGGACGTTCGTTTATCGTGAACGTTGAAAATCCGACACATGATCATCGCGGCAGATTATTTTCGTCATGGACGATGACGCGTGCGCGTCTTGTTATTCGCGATTTGTATCAACTAGACTTGAGATAAAGTCGCGAAGAAGCTTGCATCAATTCATAAGTCTGTTTCGAGGTTCATAGTACAAAGACCGTGATCTTGGTGACCGGATTTTCTGAATGATAATTCTGATTGCACAACTAGTGCAAAATTTATTTCTACGTTTTGATAAGTTAACGTATTTGCATCCGAAATGTGCACAAAATACATTACGTGTACAAATCTAATAAAGTGTATGTCTGAATATGTTATATAATAATATACTGCAACAAGTTAATTTTGACCGTTAATAGAGAAAAAGCTAATATGATCGAGATATTTTGGAGACTATACTCATGTTTGTAAATGTAAATTTTAATTATATTTTTCAATTATATGTATAAGTTCTTCACAGAGTTTTAATAAGATGCATTATAATATCAAATCGATAAATCAATTTATAATTATTATTTCAACTTCAGTTTATGATTATGTTTCGATAGTTATATAACTAAAAAATGTATTTAGAATTTATATTTAAAAATATTATTATCAAAATCTATTCATACTAGCTCTTTTCTTACTTATTTTATATTAATTATACATATATATAATACATATATATATATATATATATATACATATATATATACATACATAAATATAAAATTTTAAATGCGATTTTACGAAGAAGCACACAAAAATCATGATTAAATAATTTTATCGCCGTTCTTTCACTCTTTGAAACTGATTTCAAAAATAGTTGTCGATTCTCGATTCAAGGAAAAATATCAAATAAGAAACAATTCAGACAACATGCGCAGGCGCACTTTGCGAATCGCTCACTTGCTTGGAAGTTGATTTTTAGGAAAACGATCCAGTGTCATTGCAAAACTCGTTTCTGTGACTCTACAAAAATTTTGGGTGTAACTTTCTGACAATTTCATACTTGAAGTAATTATTGTGGATCTGTTATCACAAAATACGTGTAGTAACACAAAGCTCCTATTCAACGTTATTATCGAAGAACAGACGAAAGCCAAGGATTCCGAGAGTATGACCAGTATTCTTAGTCGGTTCTTATATTTGAAATTGTCTTATACATATATAAGTACGGTCTTAAGGCCTAAACACAGTGCGAAGGCAACAACGATAGTGATAGATATAACGATAACAATAGCGATAGCGGATAGGAACAGAGGAATCCAACATGCGGGAATACATACAAGTATGTCAATACACATAGAAATATTTTCACAATAATTTGACATATACATTCCCGTATGTTGGATTCCTCTGTTCTTTTCACTATTGCTATCGTTTTTTCTATCGTTACTGCTGTTGCTTTTGCATTGTGTTTAGACTTTAAGATGCCATGAAAATCAGAGAGGCGCATTGACAGTCTTCAAATAAGGTTTTCAATAATAATCATCTTTCTTTCTCATTTAATTTTACATTGTGCGCGGTAATCCAATGTTACGTTTAAAATCATCTCGAGTATGATTTCAAAAAAATTCTCATCAAACACTGAATATAATTGCCATATAACATAGATATTAAATATATATGTATTTTATGTGAGTATATTTTTAAAAATGTGGATATTAAATATATATATATATATATATATATATTTATATGCCCATATTTTTTAGAATGTATGTTGTACAGCAGTTATATTCTGTGTTTGCTGAGAATATATTGTCATTTGAAAGCTCAGAAAATCATTCTATTTGCTTATGCTCTGTACATAACTATTTATTTACGTTTCATATCTGGTACATATTTACTTTTTGCGTTCGGTTTATCGCATTTGCTGTGTTTTATTTTGTCCACATATTTTATCTGTTTTTTTAATAATTATGTCATATTATTTTGTTGTATCTCCTTCCTTTAATCTCTGATACGCATCAAAGTAATAATTTTGCTGATATCTTTATAATATTTTTTGTGTGCACACCTCTGTCTTATGTAAATTACTACTGTTATTTTGTATACTTAATAATTATTAAAATGCTGCTAAAATATATCTTAAGAGAGAAAAACCGTTTCGAAATATTGGAAAATATAAAAATAAGTATTGGAAAGTATAATAAATGTTGACTATTAGCATATTAACGCCATAGTGTTGAAAAATAATTTCATAAATATATAATTAAAGAATTCTCTATTTAATAGCGGAAAGGGATCATTATACAAGGGCGATAATATCACCTTATCCTCCATTATTTGATATTAATGGGATGTGCAAAATGTTAATTGATGTTTCTTAGATAGAGATTTTCCAACGTATCATTTTGCAGTATTTAAAGATAATAGTAATTCTTCATCATTTTTGGAAATGATTCATCTCAGTTAATATACAGCTTTAAAGCTTAAGCGTTAATATACAGAATTATACATCACAATTCTATTACAAACATATCAAGGAGAAAGATAAATTTGATTTTATCTCTTATGGCTTTTATTGCTCCAACATAAACGCACTCTTATGCCCGTTTCTAATGTAGATTAACTTTCTCGTTTCAACTTACTCTTTATCTTTTCCTAATTCTAAGATATTAAAATCAAGATTTTTCTTTTCTTTTCCTAATTCTTAGAGTTAAATAAAGATAAACAATACCCCAAGAAACACAAAATGATTATTTTAACGTCATGAAAGTTAAAATGATGATTTTTTTAATTACAAAATTTGACTGTTTATTGACGTTAAAAACCAACATAAAATCATTTTGATTTTTTATTGTTGACCTTTTTTGTGTTCCTCGAGAAGTTAAATTGAAATTAAAGTTAATCTTACATTGTATGGTAAAATTAAACTTAAATCGACCGAGTATTCAAACTCTTTTCTTCTGCCTCTTTTTTCAGCAGAACGAGTCGCTCTACCCGGCTGCATTCGTATTTACGCGGGTCATCCTCCGTCACCCGGATCGTCGACATCATCGGCGCGTCCCCAGGTGGCGTGCCACTTGGATCGAACTTCGTACCGCCGTTAACATCGTTAATTCTCGAACGACCTCCTTCGCTGTTTTTTCCTGCCTCCCCACCGCCCCTTGCACCCAGTATTCGCTGTAATCGCTGGGTGTTGAGCAAACAACGTCGGGCGACGTGGTGTGCGTGCGTTGCGTGCATAATTTCGTATTCCGCGTCGATTCTTATTCGACTCGCCTCGATTCCGCACGCGCGCGCGCGCGTGCGCATCTCGCCACGCGTATTGCAGTTTGCAGTTTCCGCGGAATCGAAGAGCAGAAGAGTCGGCCGCATCGGAGTTAGATCCGCTCCGGAAGAATTTCGTGCGGCGATGAGCGACGTGAAATAGAGAAAAACACAGACGAAGGGGAAAAAGCGGACGCTGATTAATCAGCGAGATAAACGAAAGAGAGAGAGAGAGAGAGAGAGAGAGAAAGAAAGAGAAAGAGAAAGACAGCGACGCCGCAAGTTCCCTTTCGTCGAAGGAAAAGAGAGAAAGGATTAAAAGGGCAAGGGAAGAAGAGGGGGAGGAGGAGAAACAGGGTAATTAAACATGTCGCATCTAAGAAATGCGATGATCGCCGGCGGCTGGTCGACGAAGACGATGTCAGTGACGGCATCGTCGACGGCGGCGGCGACGTCAGTG